CTTAACATATGAATTATATATAATTTGAGGGGCTAGTAAGCTGTTACTTTCAATTTTAATAAATAACGACTGTAATAATTGTTACAAATATTCTATACAAGGAGTCGCTAACCTTACGCGGGTGACGGACAAGTAGGAGAAGCTTGTATTTATTGCTGACACCGCATGAAGTTATGCGAATTTATTGCACGCTGTGTTATTACACCATGAAATTTTCCAAAACCCCGTTCTTACTCTATCTCACAAGAATACCTGGGGGAAATAACTAATTTTCTTTGTACATATCACTGTTATTTTCAACGAACCTCTCGATTAGTCTAACACGCAGACTTAATCTAAATATTTATATTACTTTGACAGTGGACGCAGATTTCGTTCCTACATAAATAATCACCATATTATTTGCGATCATCAGCCGACAACTGAGGAATTATTATGAATATTTTTAATTTCTCACGAGCGCACCAAGACTCCCGTCGCCATACCTGGTCTATATTATGAAGAACAGCGTTAGGGCCGTTACCACGTCAGAAGTTCACAAAAGCGGCCACAGCCAACAGCTGGATTTCGTATTCATTTTAATGAAATCATCCAGTATCTCATATTTATTAATAATAATAATAATTCAATTCAATTCAATTCTTGGTTTTATTTACGTGCTGTACTCAACAGCTGGTAGCCAATTACAGAGTCAGCACGAGGACACAATATACAGAGAGACTGATGAAAATAGTACAAAAATTCAATTACAAATATGCACAATTGAAAGAACATAATTAGATGTTAGAGACGAAACCAAGCAGTGTCTAAGTAAAACATATGTCAAAGGTACTACAGAAGTAAATATATTAATGAAGAAGTGACAACAAGTGTCATGCAAACAGTAACATGAACAAATTAAATAGACACATTTTTTAATAATAATTACAATAATAATAAATATAAGAATAATAATAAGAGAAATTAATTATATTTTAGGACTGAGAAATGAGATGTTTAGATAATTAATTGAGAAATAAATCTGATGCAACTATAAGAACAATTAAATAGTTAGATTTTTTAAACTTATTTTAGAATTACTAAAAATGTCTAAAGAATTACACACTAAATTAGCAGCAGAGACACATCTGGCTGACGGGCAGTGACTAGAGGAGCAGCAGAACAGGGAAAAATTACGGATGTTCCGAGAGGGAGCTCGAATACCAACTGTTTCTAGGACCGAAGGACAGTTTTTGTCACCTTTAAAAACACATATTAGGAACAAGGCGTCTATGTGGCGACGCCTAGTGTGGAGTGATCGCAGATTTAACATATCAAGCATATTGATGTAATGATACTCCGTGTCATGAAAAAATCGGTTGTGGCAAAGTGCTGCGAATTTTCTTTGTATACGCTCAAGTTTATTAGAGTCAGTGTTGGTCACAGAGTTCCAAACCACAGAAGCGTACTCTAATTTAGATCTGACAAGGGCAGAATATAACGTCATTAGACTGTCTAAGGTGGAAAATGAGAAAGTGATAGTACGAATTAAGCCTAATAATTTTAAGGCATGCAAAAATAAATAATTTACATGTTGATGAAAGTAAAGTTTGGAATCAAAATATACTCCTAAGTCTTTAATGCAGTCAGCGCGAAGTATGACAGAATTACCCAACCTATATGGAAAGTTCAAGGCAGTAGTTTTCCTGGTAAAGGAAATAATATAATAATATTATTATTATCATCATCAATATCATTATTATTATTATTATTATTATTATTATTGCTCTACAGTCCTCTATTGGGCCTTGGACGATATTTCTTCAGTTTCTTCATCCTATACACAGTCGGGAGGACTCGCTGGACGGGGGATCAGCCCGTCGCAGGGCCTCTACCTACATACATAAAACGACAAACACAGAAAAAAACACATACAATACAGACACTCATGTCTTGAGCGGGATTCGAACCTGCGATTTAGCGTTCGAACGAGCGAAGACAGTTCATGCCTTAGAACGTGCGGCCACTGTGATTGGCATGTCAAATGTATTTATTATACTCAGAATACAGATCATCGAATGGACGGGCAATTAGTGAATAATGAATTAGAAATGACGTAACAGGAAGCGGGAGTGGCTATTTAAGGTACTATTCCAGCACTGGCCTGGAGGAAATGAGAAACGACACAAAAAAAAATCAGAACAGGCGATATTCCGGTCGAGGTTCGAACATGGCAGTTCATGAAAACAAGCCAGAAGCGTTTCTAGCTGTTCCATCTTTCCCTGTCCTGCCAAGAATGTTTCTTGTTAAGAACAGAGCATGATTTCCTTCGAGAAATCTGCTTCAAAATCCACTTTGCTGTCGAACAACGGGACTTTAATTAAACTGAATTACTGTGAATGTTGTACTCGCGCATTGATATCGCTCCTGGATGTATGTGTGAAATATGTGTATATGTGAGATGCAATGTTATCTGGCTGGGATGCACTTCCTTGTCAATAATGTATTAAATCGCTGCCTGCCCANGGTGTTAACCGACGTTTCGGAGGAACGTATCGCCTCCATCTTCAGGGTAGAAGAAAAGTATAAGAAATCTGCAAGCGACAAGACCGTGAGAACGGTAAAAGCGTCGGTTAACACCACATATACACGGTGCCAAATCCCAGAAGCCTGCTTTCTTCATATGAAATGTGCATTTAATTCTTTCTGTGGAAGTTCATGTTGATAAAAAACAGATCAATGATCTGACACGGCAAGATATGCGAGGTCACAAAGGCGGAAAATAGAACGAAAACGGAAGAACCAGTGTTATAAACGTGACAGCTCTGACACTCACGGAAACGTATCACCAGGTGTGGGAATATTATCGCAGATGGTGACTGCGGCACGTCAGCACTTGGTGAGCCGTGGAAAATCAGAAGTTTCGCGATTCCATGCGGTCTACTGTTGTCCGTGCCCCAAACAATATCTCATAAGAAACGTGATATGAAACACGACAATGTACTTCTCTGCATTTCGCGTAAACAACGTTTTAAAAATGCTACGTTGCGCTGTATGCCTCTTTTTTTTTTCAATAATCTGCAAACCAGAATGAATTCTTTCGCCCGCGTTTATTCCGCTTCTACCGACCAGCAAGAGCGCATAATTTATCAAATGACGAATGCATGTCTATTGAAGTGTGAATTTCACTTCGGTACGTGCCTTCTGTGTGCGGAAGACAGACAACACGTCCTACTTGAATTCCGGAAAGAAGTGACAAGAATTTACAGAACGTAGAGACTAAAACTCCCATTTCGTATTCTGGAAATCACGGCTTCACGACAGGAAATTTTGACTCAGGTATCCCGTGTTTTTCTTTAGTCTCGGAATGCAAATGCTGAAACAGTACAATGACCACGGCAGTTTCCATGCGCATCCGAACAAATTCAGCATTCAAAATTCCTTCCCTGTCGGCGTTATATAACCTCAGCAGCACCGTCACATAAATTAGGACATAAGGATAGGAATTGTTGTATTCTCGTAAACAATTAGAAACAAAGCAGGCGTTCTAAGAAAACAAAATGAGGATTTCTCAACAACTCTTCCCTCATAAATATCATAAATCGAAAGTATTACATAAAATACAGCCAAGATAAATATTCGGTTCATAAAAGGAAAGATATGGGTGGGAAATTAACATTTCATAATGCGAATTTCGGCTTCGTTAATCAAATTTCCTAGTGCAACAAATTAGATATAATATATTACAATTTTATAATTCTGCACGAACGTACAAGCATGCTATTCTGTGGAGCAACAGAGTTACACAATTCGATAAATAGTTTACTCTTCAGATAATGAATACTGTATTAAGAAATACCATTACTGCAGTTGCGTCATCGAAAAATGTGGTAGTTTCCAATTTAAACAAAAAAGTTAGGAACTGTAAGCGCAGTATAACAATTCTGGCGTGTTCGCTCTCCCTTGCTTAATTAATTCTCAAGAAACTGGGATTATCTATAACAAAGTAATGGTTGTGGTAGCACGTCCAATTATATTTTAATTAAATAGACCTGTATATTTATATAGATGCAAACTTCTAAATTTAGGTGCGAGGAATATGGTTTAATTATAATCTAGCATAGGAGACGTACAGGCCAGAATTTAGCTTCCGGTTTCACGGCGGTAATGAACAATGGGGTACGTGGCGTCGAGATAAATTAAGATTATTATACCTACAACTTTTATATGGGATATTATTTATATTTTAAGAATGACGTCTTCTGGGATGTGGCGACGTGAAGATATAGTTTAAAGCGACGTTTCGGAGGAATGTATCGCCTCCATCTTCAGGGTAGAATAAAAACAAAGAAAATCTACGACCCAGAAACCAGCATTCTTCATTGTGACAGCAATGAAAACCTCAAATGCTACATTTATATTTTAGTATAGTCTCTGACGTCATATCTGACGGATTTAACGCAACCTGAATCTGTACTAACGGTAATGCATATAGATGAATAACTAATTACTATAATTATAAATTTAAAGTTCTTGCTAACCTCGTCCAATAGGCCTAGACCTTTGAAGCAACCAGGCCTCTAAATAATCCCACTTTCATAACTGATCAGATGTTTAGCTTGTAAGAGCGTCTTCTGAGGAACGCCATATCTGTAAATCTATATATCTCATTTATGATTTGTTAAATTACGATGTCAATAGCTCAGGCTACACAGAGTATAGTAGCAAGATGATTAGTAAATAAAGAGCTGAAAGGGACATGAAAAAGAATGTGGCATATTTAGGTACTATGCCACACTTGACAGAAGTCACCGAAGAAAATCATGTAACACCTGAGTCAGGATAGTAGTCTTTGGGGCGAAATTCGAACCAAGAGCCTCCGGAATAAGAAGCAGGGGAGTTAGCCACTCGATCGCAACGTTTCGTCGTATCCCTACGTTAATTACTAGCAACTTAACGGATTATTGCAAAAACAACTGACACGAGAGAGGCTTTTAATTGATATTCTCTTCCTGTGCCAGGTCGGCCAACTACAACAACGCCACGAGAGAATGCAGTCTGTCAGACATGGACCGCTTGACAGTAGCAGGTTCCGGGGCTTTCCGTTCAGAGCCCGATACGGAGTATCTGGAGAACAACTGTGTTGAAGAACCCATCAAATTATGTGAGTTCAAGAAGCTGAGTGGTCGCATCCTCAAGACTGTGGACTCGGTATACCAGGATGTCGGTTCTGCAGATGAATGTCGCGAACTCTGCCTCAATTCGCCCTTCCGCTGTCACTCCTACGACTACGGTGACACTGGCGAGATGGTCTGCAGACTCAGCCATCACTCGCGCGCCACACTCGCTGACATACAGGTTAGTTACCTGCCTACTATCACGGACATCAAAGTTTCACTTTGTGTTTACAGAGCATGTCACATACATAACGAGCTCTGCTCTTTGAGCCTTGTGGTCGTGCTGGAACTGATGGTTCTACAGTTCTGCATGCACATTAAACAAAAATCCTTATTTTAGTATTGCAAGTAATAATGTACTGATTAAGTGGCCCAATTAGTCTTTTAATTACCAATACGTTTCTTTTCTGAATCGGTTAAGACAATGATTAAATCGTTTCCAACCATATATGATATAAACTCCGTCCTAAGTGCAACAATATATTGTAGGTCTTTCGTCTTGCTTTCTTCTACACTACATGTTTCGGCCGCAAACGGCCATCATCAGGTGTATACACTCACGTGGCTGTCACACTGCACCCAGTTTAAAATTAAAAACATACAGGTCTTCCCAATTGTTCCCTTCGTCGCTGCTAACAGGATCTACTTCGCTGATATTTGTCTGATTCGTACCTCATCTTTGCCACCCACATACGTCAATTTTGACCTTCATGAACTGGCACTTTTAAAATCTTCAGTTCCAATTTTAAAAATTCTTTAAATTTTTTTTTTCCCAAAATTTTAAATTTAAAATTTAAAATTCTCAGGGTTACTCGCCCCACGTTTGTAGTGCTGCAGCGGCTACTTCTTGTTTTCAGCACTGTACAGGTGTTATTCTGTGTAGGCTCCCTGTGTGCGTGCCGCAAGACGAGAGACCTACAATATATTGTTGCACTTAGGACGGAGTTTATATCATATATCGTACAGAGTGCAACAGGATGCTTAAATATAATACTGTTTCCAACCACATGACAAATTGCTCATTAAATGTTTCAAAGAACTGTTCTATCCATGGCACGCACATTTAGTACTGTCATTTCTTACAATTCAAAATGTTTACCATCGAGTTTCTGCTACACAGCATCGACATTTCTGCCCACGGAGCTTCTATGTACTTCCTAATTGAAAAGCATTCCACGCTCATGCCTCAGCTTCACGCGTCAAACTGCACGTTTATTAGTCATTTAATAAAAAGAAGAGATTATTTTTCATGATAATTTATTAGCAATATAAACTGAGTTTATAATGGTTCTCCTATAATAAACTGAAAACTGACACATTTAAAACACAAATGAAAAGTTGCCAGTGCAAAAGCGCGCAAATAGCTAGCCCAAGGAACCCAGCGGCAACCTATTAAAACTGGAACGAAACATATTCGAATTATGTCTTTTCTCCGTGCACTTAGGCTTAGAAATATAAATTAATCAGCCGTAAAATAACGTTATGGAAAACAACGCTTTTGAGTTACATTTTCTTTTGCTGGGTTTAAAACTTTCTTACTTCGTATTATGCAGCCCTCGATTTATTTAAAGCACGAAAGCGAGACATGAATTGAACATTTAACAGTTTTACATTGATAACGACGTGTGGCCCATGAATCCTACCTAAGCAGGTGATATGGCCCGCCAGGTAAAACTGACAACCTTTGTACTACTAGTCAACATAACAACCCCGAGGTAAATGGGTTATATGTCAGGGTGATAAGTCTCTACATGAAGACTTCATGGCAATACTTCGACCATATTCGACGTTCTGAATGTAGGCATATTTCCTTACACGACAGTGATCTTAAGATTCCTTATCTTGCAATAGCATAAACGAATGGAATACAACTCTTCTAGTCTAGTACAAGCCTAGCAACATTAAGAAATATGTTTATATTCTTCCTTACAGGATCCATATCTGGAAGTACCCGAGGCATCGACATACGAGCTTAGCTCCTGTTACAATGTCAGCATTGACTGCCGATCCGGTGACATGGTGGCACGTATCAAGACCAGCAAAATGTTCAACGGCAAAATCTACGCCAAAGGCAGTCCCAATTCCTGCGTGGAAGACGTTCGTGGAAGTCTTGAATTTGAACTAAAGATGGCGTACGATGATGTTGAGTGCAACGTGAGACAACAGGGCCTTGGCCGATATCTGAACGACGTTGTCATCCAGCACCATGATACCATCGTGACGAGTTCCGATTTGGGTTTGGCAGTCACATGTCAGTATGACCTCACCAACAAGAGCGTCTCCAACGAGGTTGATCTTGGTGTGAGAGGTGACGTACGTCCTGCATTGTCTGAAGAAGTGATAGTGGATTCGCCCAACATTGCTATGAAAATCACGCATCGTTACGGCGGAGAACTGCTCCCATCAGCAGAAGTTGGCGACCCTCTCACCCTCTGGTTCGAGATCCTGGATCGCAACAGCCCATACGATATGTTCGTCAGAGAACTTGTCGCTATGGACGGAGTAGACTCCAGTGAGATTGTGCTTATCGATTCTGATGGCTGCCCAACTGATCACTTCATCATGGGACCAATCTACAAGTCTGCAGATTCCGGCAAGGTACGGTAAATGATTTAAACCGTTTAATATTACCGAGACAAGAAGCAAATTGCACACTGTTTCACAGTTACATCATATTTGAATCGATATACAGTGTTTCGAGGTATGGCTCAGACGAAAGTCAGGGCCTCTTTCTCCAATTATTCTTTATTCTTGATTTTTTTAATGACACTTCCAGCCGCTCAGATTGGTCAGCGTCGAATGATGGGATGATCAGCGAATCATCAACCGGAAAGGATGCCGTGACATAATTTAAGGCATTGTCCTGCTAATTAGTTAAAGGAACTCAAGAAGAACACGAAACCATCGATCATGACAGCCGGCTTCTGGGAGGACATTGAGTTCCGGACCTCCCGAATACGAATAAGGAATTTGCCAGTACCTAATGTAGAGATCATATCTATTTCATTGCTAGGTAAATTCTGAATTTAAAAACAAATCACACTATGTGTTTTACATAAACAGAAATATCACAATTTACTTACACGTTTCATCTAACTACTCAGGAAACAAAACTAGATAAAAAACAGGGCATAACTATAGCATATTTTTCAATTAGCTCCACAATAGTCAAAGACGAAATCCATTAGGAAATCATGTGCATTGTACCTTACCGCATAAACGGCTACTGCAACAGGAAAGAACTAGAAGTGACGCATGAACACTCACCTGCAACAGAGACAAAATTAAATCATATAAAAACAATTCTATAGAGTTACCTGGGATCGTCGTCCCTACCTAAATGGAAGTAGCAAGTCTCAATATCTTGTATGAATTATTTTAACTTTAGAACCCTCAACCACTTTCAATAAGAAAGATCGCTAAATGGGCTCAAACTGTCTTCATTTTATACGAGCTTTCTATATACCCAACATGGGGGAAAAGCACCCCGCAGGTACTATCTTATATACGTTTTATGTGTCTCTGATAACATGAAGATACTTGTTCCCCTTCATGAACCTATCACAAGGAACAAGGAAAACAGTTTTATTATTTAAGAGTTCCTTCTTCTGGGATATAAAGACGTGTAGTCAGTTGAAAGTCAACCTACGTGTCGGAGGAACATGTCGCCTCCATCTTCAGGATCGGAGACTAAGCCAAGAAAGAAACCAACGTAGGTGTTTTTGTAGTAAGCAGACTGGTTTTTTTCTTAGTTTATTCTTCGACCCTAAAGATGAAGGCGACATGTTCCTCCAAAATGTCGGTTGACTTTCAACGAACTACAGGGCGTTATATTCCAGAAGACAGAATTCTTCATAATCGCAGCTGTAAGAACCTCAAATCCTACAGTTTTATTTTGGTACCAATGATCAAATTCTATCCACTTTGCAACAGTTATATGAGTATGAGCGAAACACAATATAAAACAAATTTCACTGCCAGATTTTGTAGATTTTCTAAAGAACCCGTGAAGTAGAACATTAAATAGATGAACCATGTATGTGTGTGTGTGCGTACGCACGCACACAAACACATCGGCTTCAAAGGATGTATGGCTTCAAATCCGCCATTGCTGTGAGACAACCTGACGCGGACCGGAATTATCTTGACCCAAAAATTGGTTAATGTAAGGCAACAAATTGAAATTTGTATCCTACAGAAATCTTAAAGTAAGTCTAAATGCCGATTTCATGTTTCAGGTTTAGTCTTTCCGAAGCTAAGAAACACAGAAAATTGTTTTCTCTGCTTATGTGAAATTCGCTACAAACGAAACTCTCGAGTTCATCCCTGCTTTGTGAGATTAAAAATACATACTTCTGTTAATGTCATAACGTACGAATTGAAAAAGTTTCTTTTGAAATGAAATATTCATACAGAATACACGAGAGAACAAATGTCAACGCTGTTACGATTAAATACTGCAGAAAGCACTGCACATAAAAATAGGATATTAAATTTAAGTGAAAGCCCAAACGTCGAGTCGAATTAGCGCATATTAGTGTAAAGACATCATAGATTTCATAAGCCTTCACCAGGCTGTAAGGTTATAATAATGAAAGAATGTCACAATCAGGTTGGATACGAGATTAGTGTAATTTCGTTGGCTGCAACAAAACTGCGCGCTTTATTGGAATACTTCAGAACCTATGATCACAACCCCGTATTTCAATTGCAATGTTTGAAGAAGAACGTACATAGTAAAACATAAGTCTGGAATATTTAAAATTTAAAAAGATCTATAAGCACCTTCCTGAATGAGATCACACAAGCAAATGGAAATAACATAGTTAAAAAGTTCATAGGAAAACTCGTGTTACGCAACAGCGATAACCCCACGTTCGATGCAACCAAGAACAAGGGACAAACATGCTACCTTAAGTGACTCCTGATATGAAATTAACCATTTTAATGAACCTGGAAGATGGTGGGTTTGAAGTGGTCAAGAAAAAGATGAATGTCACAAAAGCACAACTGATGGGTCCTGGAGGTAATACGTATCATTTAGGTAATCTTAATATAATGATACAAAAAACAGTTATTGTCAGTGGGCAAATGATACTGTGGACTCAGGTAGGCTGCAAGAGAATGCCGGGAACAAGAACACATGAGGCGGACAGAAACCTTCTCACTGCCTTCACAGGAATATTATTCGTGGGTTTTAACTACAAGCCACGGTGAATGAACGAACTGACGCTATCAGAAATTAGTTGAGACTCGTCCGTAACGGGTAAAATCAATCATCGAAGTAACGCAAGTGGAGATGCCCTTACAGGTAGCAGTGCACTTCGTACGCACTACAAGAGTGTCCTGACACAGGACAGGATACTGATCATTAAAACAGTTGAGCTCATAATACATGACAATAAAACAGTCATTCGTATCAGATAATTTACCTTCGCTAGTAAAAACAATTAACACAACTGAACACTGTCATTTGTAGGCTATAACTGAAAGAAAGGAAACCATGCTCCAACAAGAAAGACACTGTGGATGGACGGACCGTAGATTATTTAACTACGCTGCACCCACTGAGGCGTTGTTTACAGTCGAATGATATGGTACGTTCGCGTTAGCTGAATTTAAAAAGGCTGAGAAGGAAACAGTCGCGGCCAAGACATTCGCCTGGAGCAACCGAGGAAAATAACGAAGACCTGAGTCAGGACAGTCAGTGTCCCGGCCGAGATTCGAACTGGGAAGAACCAGAATACAAGTCAAGAAGCGTTAAGTCGCGTGAGTAACACACTTGCCTCTAATTCTGGAGATCTCGACCGGGAGACCAGCTATCCTGACAGGTTTGAAGCGTTTTCCCTCAATTCGTCCTGGCAAATTCCGAAATAGTACTTCAAAATAGGCCACGACAGCTTCCTTTACATCCTTTCCAATTCGCTACTCACTAATCATCCAACCATTCGACGATTTATAGCGGCGAATTACTGACAGCGACGCTGAATACAAGTAGCAGCACAACCCGACTACAACGATAATCGTGTCACCAAAAACTGGCAAGTCACAGGAACATTATTGATTTTAATTTTGCTCAAGGGGTGAGACTGAGTCCACCTGGTATTGCGGCCACTGTTTGGCCTATCGTACCAGCCCCGGATGATAGATGATGAGTGTGGAGCAGTGGGTGGAATGAGAATTGGCAGGGGAACCGAAGTACTTGGAGAAAACCTTCCCCAGTGCCACTTCGTCCACCACAAATGCCACATGACCTGACCTTGGATCGAACCCGTGCCGCCGCAGTCAGAAGCCGGCGACTAACCGCCTCAGTTATGGCACGGGCAAGTCACATGAACACTCAAAAATGTTTTATTTCATAGTTACTGCAGTACAGTAGCCGAGCAAATTATTACCCCAGTGGTTTTCCCGTCATTGCACTTCTCACTCAAAAGCAGGAATGGTCTTTTGCAGAGCGCGTCGATCAATGCTTCTATCCCGATGAAGTGTTGTTCAGGATGGAGTGGGGCTAGTACAACCTGAAGCAGCATCACAGGCTTAACATGGTGGACTTTAATAATTAATAAAGTAAATGAAGTACTCTGGAAATAAACTATCCGTGAAGACTGTCGCGTTTCTAAAATAGCGATACGGCATTGCACTAACATCGTGCCTTCAAAACAACCGACGTACAGTGAAAGGAATATGCACAACATGAAATTTAAGTGCATTCATAAGAATCTAATCAACATGCCAGCGAAAGACAGGAAGTCATTCTGGCTGCGAGATGCGTCTCTTCAATACACTACAAATCAAACAGTCCCAGAATTTCACGCAATGATAATTCTACGAGGTTCCCTGAATGTTACTGTTAATCACCGATTCATTTTAAAAGTATTGTTTTTGACATTGTCTGTATCCAAGGTATATCCGACACACACGACGTTTCATAATTAACATTAAGATTAAAGCAAAAACTAACAAAAATGTCAGTATAATGACAACTAGTCACTTCAAGTTGGGAGCAGAACCGACACTCGACTCACCACGTGTATAAATTACGCCTCAGACAATAAATAATGTCGACATATCACTGATATTCTACAAAATATAAAAACAACACGTGTTTCGTGATTCCCCCCGTCTGTGCTTTCAGACTGCGATGACAAGAGCACTTAAGACGATGTCGCTTTAAACTATCGGTGCCACGGATACCAACATAATTGCGGCCCGTCGAAATACCAAATGCAGATGTTAATTTACCATACTTGAATTCTAGCATAACCTCGAAAGCTTGCCTCTTGAAATGTAACCCCCCCCGCTGTACTATTCATGTTCAGCACCGGCGGCAGTTGGTATAAGAAATGTGGGGCACCGTCTTATCAAAAGCAGAAAGTTGTAAGTGTATAAGTCGCCAATTCTGCACGTCAGCTTCTCGCCCTACGCCCTTTACGCCGTATACGTGTCAATTCTATGCTCACTGTATCTAGAAATGCTTATGTTGAACTGAACGCACGTTTCAATGTTGAGAAATCGCAACATGAAAAATAAATAATTTTGTGGCACATAAAATATAATAAATTTCCCAATTGGAGTAACCTAAAAATTTGCGCTCGCAAATCATAATGTACTGGATAACTGATATTTCAATTCATTGCATGTATTAATAAGTTTCTTTTGCCTAATTTCCTACTGTTCGTAAAGGGACGTAGGATCATGGTGCGTGTATATTTGTGTATACTCCACTAATAGCGTTTGTAGTAAAGGCCAATATCATTCAAACTGGGTTTCAATATCATGTCATTGTAGACTATTAAGAGTTCAAAGACATGTCAGATCGTCGTTCTGGTTCAACAAGATGAATATACGTTCTACAAATTCAAAAGTAGGTAAAATTGCCCATAAAGCATATTTATGCTGGACCCGACTCACTTTTAAAAACTTTTCCTTCGTCTTCACTTCACGGTATAAGCAAAAGCATGTTCAGACTGCTCACACCCATTTCATCTTCTCCAAGCTCTTCTCAATCCCGCCGTCCTTTTCGCTTTTATTGCAGAATATGTTTCTGTATTCTTTTTTCACCCATTCAAACTAGATTGCTTATTCAATTCTGTTTGTATTCATCCATTTTATTTTATGCTGTTTTCAACTGTGTCCTAATGTCTGAGTTTCCAATATGATCTAGTTTAGCGTAGCCTTTAATGATCGGAAGTGTCTCACTTCTACTGGCCGTATTCCATTTATTTTCCTTCAGTTCAGTCAAATAAAGCAAAGCAGATACTATGGTAACCTTCCCACTCAAAACATTTGAATACTACAACACTTCACTCTTGGAAACTAATTCTATATTCCCGTTTCAGGTTTTGTTATCGCATTTCGACGCCTTCAAGTTTCCCTCATCTGAAGTGGTGCAATTCCGCGCCCTGGTAACACCCTGCATGCCTACGTGTGAGCCGGTGCAGTGCGACCAGGAGGACTCATCTGGTGAACTTCGGTCTGTACAATCCTTCGGTCGCCGACGACGTCGCTCCACCAGTACCAACAGCGCAGGATCCAGTGTTCGTGAAGACATGTTGCTCGTTCAGTCTATCCACATCACCGACAAATTCGGTTTCGATCGGTCGGCAGCAAGGAAGTCCAACATGACCACGCCTACAAATGACAACAGTGCTATCTTCATCAGCGACACGACGACGGGAGCGTTCTGCATCAACGTAGCGGGCATTATCGTGGCCGGAACAGTATTTCTAGCGGCACAGCTGGCAGTTATTGCAGCCTGGACCTTCGTATGGCAGCGCCGGAGAAAGTTTATGAAGCACAATCAGGACGCTATGTCGGCAAGCGTCAGTATCCCGGGGATCAACGTCGCACGCACCGACAGTCTCTGCAAGCTTTACGACACAGGGTATGCCAGACGCTTCTGAGAACATGTCAACCAACCACATTCGGTAGCCATCTACTTTACTGTCGTAGCTGTAACTTAAACTATTACAGTACGACAATGCTTGACTCCAAAATTAAGAATTTTCTTTACATGATTTAAAAAAGCCCAGCCTTGCAGAAAAAAAGCGTAATGTTGAAAGTATTTCTTAATCAGCCACTGCTTCCCTGTGTAACGGAGACCATGACTGTCTCCTCAACTGTGTAAGGTAACAACAAAATACACTAAGCCAGTTGTTCATTAATCCAAAGTTCCACGGAAAGTTCCACCATAGAGTTTCTATCGTTTTTATCACATCCCGAAAGAAGGCACTGTTGAAGATGGATATCATACATACAGAGAAGTTTAATATATATGAACGTGTTTGTTTGGAGTCCAAGCAGTTCACCCCACACAGCGATTCCTATAATTCACGTAACTTTCCACTAAATGCTACATTAATTTTAATCGCATCATATATAAGGGGAGGCAGCCATTATCTCACACACGAAACCTCTTTCCATTTATATTCATGAAATGAACATACTGTATCAATAATTCGGATACGTATATCTCAAACTGTCCACCAGTGATCGGTACAGCCACAATAATCATTGTTTACAGAAAAGAGGTCGCCACAAAGTGGTCATATTTTGAAGCCTTTCGTGCAGTAGAGATGATTCATGAAATAAATTACTCGCGTTTCAACAGTCGCTCACTTGTGAATATCATTAAGATCTAAAAGTTTGAGACGACGGTACATCAGTACAAATATTGTGTTTCTGGGCATTATCCATCGTCCTGTCTTTATTTAAAAACCGTCCTGTTTATTTCAAAACACAACGTTTCGGAGACTAGATCTTGTCTCTGTCTTCAGGTAAAACCTACTCAGTTGGGCACAATCGATAGTCAGGAGACAGGGACTAGCTCTATCGATTGGGCCCAACTGAATAGGTTTTACCTGAATACGGAGATAGAATCCAGTCTCCGAAACGTTGTGTTTTGAAAACTAAACAGGAAGGTTTTTAGATAAAGACAAGGCGACGGATAGTGTTCAAAAACATAATATTTGTGTGCATGTCATATTAATTTCTTCACTATAAATATCACGAAGTAGTAGCAACGTTCTAGGAAACAAAACGAGTATTATAATTCGTTGATGATGAAACCCTGTTACAATTTTACTTACATGTTAGGAGAGAGACTCAAGCATCCCTTAACAAATGTGTCACAAGACAAAGTTCTACTGACTTGCAGAAACCAATCTCGGCTGACAGAACCAAGTATTGCAATGGAATAAAACTTCCAGAACAGCGTAACCATTTTAAAGTTTCCCTGTCTAAAGAATACATGCTGTAAATAAGAAATGGGATAACACATTCATGCCGCAGAACAGCAAATGTTGAGGCATATTGGGGCATGGTGAAGGCTGGTATAGGATTCAACGGTGCTAACCATATGAAGAACACAGAACTGTCCTCTTAATTATTCGCTAACGAACTGGAACTCAAGTCGAGAAGAGCTATTGTAAAGAACTGCTTACCTTCACAAAGCTGTTTTTGATTGTGAGTTCAGCAGCTAATCATAACTTTATTAATGTTTCTGATGCCATTTTTTTTTTAACTTTTAGTAGTCGATATTAAGTAGTTTGTGTACAACACTTCAACGATAATGAACCCATATGTCGAACATTCAGAGCGACTCAACACTTACTGTGAGAGCTCATTAAAACTGCATTTTCCTGCAGCGATGCAAGCTGCTATATGAGTAAATATGTTTATTCCTTCCAAATAAAAAAAAAAAAGAGCATTCCAGCTCCCTCTTCAGAAGCATATACCGATGTCTGTAACACGTTCTGCTAACTGGGAACTTTCAATTAGTGACAAATAAGTGCTTTCGTACAGATATATATCCTCACTAATACATCGACATGGTAGGAGACGAGGACGACCGGTGTGTGTATGTGACGTGTGAATGAATGTACGTTTCTGTCACATGAATAATTGTTTTATTTAACGTTAAATGGCCTCATGGTTTTCTTCTGCTTGTCCTCGCCTCCGAGGTGGGAGTTTTAAAGCAACTATACAGGGTAACATAAATATTTCGTGACCTTCGTTGTGGTTCCTGAACACGTGTGTCACTGGGGTGCCAATATGTGTTATATAGCTACAATGTTCATGGCATTTACTATGTTCATATTACACAAACATTGATATGGAGAGTAAAATCACGAAATAAACTCCCTGTAAGCTAATTTAAAAACCCACAAGTGCAGTCGAAACTGAAAAGAGAAAGGGTCTTGTGCCCAAATATATAATCAGAGCTTATTCTGAGACGGATACATGGCATTCTAGCCATCAAATTATTGTCTGGTATTAATTTTTGTGTTTTACTTTGTAATCACTAATAAAATAAACGTAATCACTACATTTCTTTTATACACATGCTTATGAAACTGATCTTTGTAAATACCATGGCTGAGAAAATAAACAGTTTCTTAAGAAAAAGTATGCAATGTCAATTTAATAAAATATCAACGAAAAAATGAATTATGAATGACTCAAATATTTCTACCCTTGTGGAATACTTTACATTCACTTTCTGGGGTAGGGCAAGGTACATATTTTGCCACGTTCTGACCTTTACCACCAACTGCATATATAGAGAGGTTACATTCGCTCAATGGTCTACTCGGACGAATGGTTAGTACGTACATCGAGGTAATGAGGCTCACCACGGGTACACAAACAGCCCTCGAGGGTCAGAATCAATTTTAAGCGATGAACTGCGTAGGACTGGCTTGAAGAACGGCATATTTCAACGATTATTGTACGCACAGAATGTTACGTTTAAAGAAAATAATTTAGGAACACTGAATTGAAAATAGTTCAGTCGGGGGAATAGTTATCTTCCCTTTACATGATTATTTTACAAACCAATGAATGAAATGTTTACAGCAGTAAAATAATTCGGAAACACGACCAATATGACGACAATCATCAACGTTGAAAATTGGCCGTCTTCCATGCGACTGTATGGCTGGGAAGTTTACAAGAGATGACGATCACCGAATGGCGAGCCGGACAGAAATACACCATTTAATTCATAAACTATTTAGTTTCATTAGACATATCTTACGGACCGCCTCTGTGTCTAGTGGTCAGAGTTCCTGGCTACAGATCCAGAGGTCCGGGTTCGATTCCCGGCGCTACCAGATTTTCTGAGAAGTAGTGGGTCTGGAACGGCGTCCACTCAGCATCGTGAGGAGCTAGTGCAAGGAAAAAGCGAAATTAACGGCCGTGGGGATTCGTTGCGCTGGCCACGAGACTCTCTATCCGCTAAAATTGGCACTAACTTCGCCGACAAGCGGCGGTCGCTCGGTCGGTATAGTTCGCCTGCGGACTAAAACCACGGAGTTTTTTTTTTCATATCTTACGAAAGCTTTTTGGCTTCCATTCTGTTTTCTACCCTACGATTCAAAAGTCTGAATGACCCTGGTAGCAAATATTGTAGAATCTTAATGACTAACATGGCTGATAGGCCGAGACGATTTTATCAGCGAGAGGAATAGCCATAAATATCACCTCGCAAAACTGTTCATTGCATGATTTTATGTTCTGAACTTCTGAAACTGACCTCTCGCTATTCAGACTACTACAACGATAGTGTTCTCGATGAGTTTCTTTTCAGCATAGCCAGTCCCAGCATTAGAGTCGCCTGTGATACCAAGGGCTGTAATGAAGTTGCGCTGACTTCAACTTTGTCGACATTTTCATTCCTCGATAGTCTACTTCCGATGTACGTATCACTTTCTGTCACTCTGAATTTGATCTGTGCCTCTACGTATGCAGCACGTCACCAGCAATATAAATCTGTGAATACACGATGTTTACATATTTCGAAAAAATGACACGGATTACGCATGCTCAGCTGATATTCCGTTTGTCATTAATCGTTCATTAAAAAAGAAACTACTCGCTTTCAACATACCGTATAGCATTCAAAGTACGCCTGTTACATAATATATAAATTCTCAACGACAAAGCACGATGCTAAATCACTGGAAATCAAAGTCAGAGCTCCCTTCAGAGTCAGGGTCGTGCCTGTCACATCCTACACGGAGCGTGTCTGTCGCTGTATATGCAACTACGTATTCCAAGAACGGATTTGGATTAAATTTCACATGGATGTAAAGGTTACCCACATTTTGGCGCAAACGGAATTTCAAAACGCGCTCTTTATGATTTTACTATCAATTAATAAGCCTAACAAGCAAATTCTTCTCTTAAATTCGTTAACGTTATTTAAACGTATGAAGTAACGTTCCAGAAATTTTCCCATGCACTAAACTCGTTAAAGTTACACAAAATAAAATGTGTCTTATTTAATTATCAAGTCTTCAATAGCAGTTACATAGAAATGTTGGAAAAATTACATGATATTTGAGGTTTCCACAGAAGTGATGATGTGAATTGTGGTCTTCCGATTATAACACCTGTATTCTGATGGGTGGTTACCAACGTTTCGGAAGAACCTGTTGCCTCTATCTTAAGGATAAATTTTGACCAATCCTGAAAATGGAGGTAGTACGTACCTCCAGACAGTTGGTGTCCATCTACCAGACTATACGGTGTCATAACCCAGAAGACCGTCCAAATACTGGTGAAAAATAAAACACGTCAAGTTCTTCGTCATATTTAAACATCTCTACAAACACGTGCACGTACGTTGGACTTGAGGTTCCCCTCACGGGGTAAGTATGAAGAATGCTGTATTCTGGGATGTAATGCTGTGTAGTGCTGCAGAAGTCCGCCGCAGTTTCAGTGGAACTTTCCGCCATCTTCTGTAAGCAGAGCGGTCTGCTTCTTGCTGGTTTCCTGCTTGGCTCACTTTTCGACCCTGAATACAGAGGCATGTAGATAGAATTCTACATAACTACACGGCGTTACATCCCAGAAGATAATGCTCTGCTCCGATCTGGTGTCGAGTGGCATAACACTGCAAGAAAACATTTCCGAGGATGAAGACCACACGACGTAATTTGTAAGCGACTGTATGAGATGCAAGCCGATCACAGTGGCCGCAGTCTAAGTTATGAACCGTCTTCGCCCGCTCGAACACTGGGGTTACAGGTTCGAATCCCACTTGAGGCATGGATGTCTGTGTGCGTTTATTCTGTGTTTATGTTCTGTGTGTAGGTAGCGGCCTTGCGACGGGCTGATCCGCCGTCCAAGGAGTCCTACCGACTGTGTATAGGATTAAGAAACTGAAAAAGCTGCCAAGGTCCAAAGGGCTATATAGCCATAGAGAGAGAGCATGAGATTCAATACCGTTAAACGTGGAAATTTACCGAAGTGTGGGTGTCTTTGTCCACAAAAAGGAATTAACAAGTAAAGTGCAGTTCTGAGATATATGTAAGGTTTTTATTATTATTATTATTATTATGTTAGACGCCAAAATTGGTATTCTGACTAGTCACTGTATGAAATGAATGGACACTTTCGTCTAAAAATATATTATGTATTTGGAAAGAATGCACAAAAATCGATCCCCAAAACTTCTTTATTGAGGTAAAACAACCGGGGAAAGAAAAGGAAGAATCAGACGACCGAAGAAGATGGAACCAGCAGTTTTAATCCTTTTCACCAGAAGAGGTTGGGAGCTTAATAAGTAATGTTCATGTTTATGATGTTGATAACGATGAAAATACATTAATTTTTAGTATTTACGTAGCCTGCTTTACAAACCAGTTACACTACTTGTTCAGTAATGTTAGGGCAGAACACTGGCATA